CGAACTGCTCCGACGACCTGGACTGGTTATCGAACTCGGCTCGCAGTTGATCCATAATCTCGTTCAGCCGGTGATTGGGCTGGCCGGGAGGAGCAGGCCCCAGGTTGGGGTTGCCGCGATGTTGGGTAGCGTTAAACATGATGGATGTTCAATGAAATACTGTCGACGAGATGCAACGAAATTTGACAATGGTTGACTGCACAGGAAGTGAGTAAGGGGAGGAGAGAAGAGAGATGAGTGTTGCCACGGGCGCAGGTACCTGTTATTCGGCGAAGGTGAAGCGGAAAAGGCGCTAGTGGTAAGGGTAGAAAAATTGCGGATAAGCTCACACAGAAGCCTCGGGCAACCGCCCAAGGCACAATCGAGGCAGCGGCAGAGCACAGGTTCGTGCTGGGTATGAATGCGATCGACGGATGGAGCTTGGCAGAGGAGAGAGTCGTGCGCAAGGGATGAGGGCGAAGGGGAAAGGAGGAGGACGAGAGGTGTTGGACGCGAAAGGTAGAGGAAAGGAGAGAAAGGTGTTGTGTTGGCGGTGGAGGGCGTGCAGGGCAAGACAGGAGGAGCAGCGGTTGCGGGAAGCAAGACGCGAGAAGAATGGGGCAGATGCACGACGAACTAGAAAGATGGGGGCCAGCTCTGCTGCAGGCTGCGGGCTGATGGTTGATGGCTGATGGCTGAATGTCTCATGGGTGGATGGCTGGAGCGTCTATCGATCAAGTACCCAGTACTCCGTACGGACAAGGCACCCCGTATCCGCCGCCGCCGAACCATGATGCACCCAGGCCCCCCGGACGGCAGATGTGGATGGCGCCGCGAGGAGAAGCCAAATAAAGAGGGCATACGGTAAGTACCTCGTACTTGTTAGGCATCCTGGGCATGGGCATGGGCATGTAGGCAATAAGCGGGAAGCACGGGGCACATACCTAGAAGCAGCCGCTAAAACAGGCCACTAGGGAACCCGGCTAACACGATTGGGCGGTCGACTCAGAGGCTAGGTTAGGCTAGGCTCGCGCTCAGATGACGGGGCTGGTGGGCTTTCCACGGTTTTTGTATGCAGGCACTCGTACGAGGAGTACCTGGACGTCAAAACCCTCTGAAACCAGACTGCGCAACCACCATGGCCAGCCATCGATGCCATCACACTCCCCCAACTGTTAAAGGCCCGGGTCAAAAGTCCGGAGGAGGAACAGAAGGAGTTAGTTTGTGCTACGTCGCAACACACGAGCAGGTGCTGGGTTACGCTATGCCTTTCGCTTCGGCAGGCGGCCATCTCCACTGTTGGACCAAATGGATTTTCCCGGGGGCACGGGCCAGTCATATTCTGCTGGCACAGGTACTGCGTACCGAATACACTTGGTAGTCTGGACTCTGCACCGGCGCAGTGGGCCTTGTCCCATGTCCAACTGGCTGACGCAAAGAATAGAGGTAGTTTCACACGATCAGAAGTTGGAAGAGTCTTGTCGTCGAGTGCGGATGTGATAGATCGGTTAGCCCTCAGGAACAGACAAGAAAGGTCACAAGGGCTCGCAGGGAATCAACACCGACTTGTCCGCGATGCTGTTACGTGTAACATGGCAAGAGTTATCACCGATCGGCGAATCTAGAATGGGAAATAAGGGTTTGCAAAGTCGGACTGAATGCCACTCGGCAGATTCCATTTGAGCCTGTCACATAATCTGCTGGGAATGTGCTATGTCGACCTCGGGGGTTGGCTTGAGTCTTTGTCAAACCATCCCAGCCACATTCGCAGTGGTTGTAGAGTCGAGATATGTAGCAGATGTCACCAAGACACCACAAGAATTGTTGTACAAGTTGGGCGAGACAAGAGGCTGGCAGTCGAGTATCGATCCGCCTGGTCCATCTCTTGTATCATCATGTCACGAAACTCCCCGAAGGCAGCCTGGTCGTGCTCTCTTTTCACTTGGACTGCTCCAGGCATTGCCGGGAACCCCTATCGCCTCGCAGCAGCGGACTGTTTCGGTGTGTTGTAATTGCATGTTGCGGCCATTCATCTGTTGTACAAGGGCGTTGCAGAGGACTCTTAGTTTGCGAAAGGCGAGATTAAGCTAGAACCGATCAATGTAAGGCAAAGTTGCTGTCAGTGAGGAAGACTGTACCTAATCAACGCAGGTTTGGGTTCACTCCGAGTATATCCTGTGACAGTTAGTGTTCACTCCAGTTTCACTGATCTGTTGGCTCATACCCAGATACAATATTAAAGGGAGGTATCCATAATGGACGACTTCGCGGGTGATGTCGAGAATCTTCCCAATGCGCTCCTGAGAGAGTAAAGTCAAAAGATGATCGTTGCTTTTCTTCGGGTGTCAACAGACCTTGGTCTCTTCTGAGAACTGAATCATCTTGTTGGACTGATAGAAAGGGGTGCTCTGTGAAAGAGAAAGCAAGAATGAGTGCTTGATTTGAGGTGCGCGATTCGTCTTTGGGTGAGATACTCTGTACTCTGTGCTTTGATGGAAATAAATATACAAGATGAAGCTGCGGAACAATTTTGAAGGAAGCCACGAGCAACACGTGATCTTTACTGGGACTAGTCTCAAAGCAGGATGGCGCACCTTTTCGGCAGCCTTGCACGTTTGCAACCAATTTTGCCATCGACACAAACCGTTCTACAGATCTGTCACTGACATTCTCCTAGCCAACTTTTGCAAGCCTGAAGCATTGAATATACCCCATAAGGCCCTGTGAGCGCTCCTCAGCATCATGTCTGGCGCACGACATTGGGAGCAAGACAAGGACTCCACGATCTACATCGGTAATCTCGATGAGCGTGTCACAGACGCCCTTGTCTGGGAGTTGTTTCTTCAAGCAGGCCGCATCGTGAATGTCCATCTACCAAAGGATCGGGTCACTCAATCACATCAGGGTTATGGTTTTGTCGAATTCAACTCAGAAGAAGATGCCGAATATGCGGCCAGGGTAATGAACCAAGTCAGGCTTTACGGCAAGCCTATCCGTGTCAACAAAGCTAGTGCCGATAAACAGAAATCTGTCGAAGTTGGTGCAGAGTTGTTCATTGGTAATCTGGATCCAATGGTCGACGAAAGAATGCTCTACGACACATTTGGACGGTTTGGTACGTTGGTGGCTGCTCCAAAGGTACGTTTTATTTACTCTTTCCTTTTGCCTTTTGAGCTCTACTAATACCAGTCAGATTGCTCGTGACGAAAACAACTTATCAAAAGGCTACGGGTTTGTCTCCTTTGCCAACTTTGAATCCTCGGATGATGCCATTGCCAACATGAATGGTCAATACCTCATGAACAAGGAGGTCTCAGTCCAATACGCCTATAAAAAGGACGGCAAAGGTGAAAGGCATGGTGACCAAGCCGAAAGAATGCTTGCAGCTCAAGCAAAGGCTCATGGTGTTCAACCCACTCCTGCTACAATTCCTATGGGCGGGCCAGTATTTGGTAGTGTGCCGCAGACTCCTGTACCTCCTGTTGGCTTTGCACAACCAAGCGGCCAATATCAAGCTGTGCCGCCACCGGTACAAGCAAGACCACCTCCTCCACCCAGTGCTCCACTCACAGCTCCACCAAGTGGTCTTCCGGCGAGACCACCTCCAAGCCAGGCGGGATATGGCGGGCCACAAGGATTCATGCCACCAGGGTTCAATCAAGTACCTACAGGTTTCCCACAGCCGAATGTCTTACCTGCCGGCTTTGCCCCCCCTCCGGGCTTTGCCGGTCCACAAGCTGGTACCATACCTTCTGCACCGGTCATGCCGCCGGGCGGATTTTCTGGATATGGTATCCGGAAATGAGAGCGACAACATATCCAGGGGCTATGAGAATCATCCGCAGCGGGCGCCTCCCAGGACCATGGCTATCGCCACGATTGAGTAGTCAGTGCCATGCGATAATATCTTCTACAACCACGGTCCCGTATCTTCCTGGCTCTTGCCTAGCCCCTTCTAATATTCTCGCGTCTTTCTTAGACCTCTGTCTGGCACCTCCTCCTGGCGGGACCTGAGTGCTTCCAACGATGGTCTGTTCTGAAACCGTTGTGGTCGTGGCCAATGATGGCATTTCGCCTGGTCCACCGGATCTATCACAAACGCTGTCGTCCAATCTAGAAGACCCTGGTCAACGCAGCCTCCGGGCGCGCTGAGAGATGCATCCGATGATACCATTGGAGAACGGGGAGTGGGATTCTTGAGTACCAGTGGTGCCCAGCAAGAACCAGAAGTAGAATGTGCCGGTAGAGTAATCAACATCTGGCACACAAGTCAGCACATTGGATGCGTGTTGTATTATCAGGAACAGGAAGCGAGGATTGCAACATCGGAGATCGGGAAGCCATGCTTTGTCGGAGATTGCAGGTTAAAGGACGATGAGGAGGATCTGTTGAACATGGTGAACTTCACGTCCTCCAGACTCAAGCAGTTGCCTTCCTGGAGTGTCTCCCTTGGTGACGCCCACGTTGATATTTAAGTCAACATGGCCAATACGGGGCTTCCATCAACATTACCGCAGACGAAGAACTTCCCTCGTGGCAGACGAGAGTCCGTATTACGATTCATACCGTTTACGTGGGCATCCAAATCCGATCTATGAGAAACACAGGTTGCGACAAAAAGATTGAGTTGGCAGAAGCAACAACTGACAATTTTTTTCAACAACATTTAATTCCATCACCAACTCTTCTGCCCCCTGGGTCTACATACGCAGTTCGCAGGCACTGGGCAACGAACACCGAATCCCCGGGCGGTCTTATTGCACGGTCTATCAACTTCCTTCACACAGCGGTATGACAGTACGTCTCGGATCATTTGAATCACTGCGTATGATGTTCGACACGTCGCCGCTTGCAAGGCGGCGGACAAACAATAAAATACACATCAAGACGTTTGGCGATACTTATCTTTTTCTTTTTCCCTCGACGTGTCAATCCTACATCCATGAATTAGTGGATGACTTGCAATCATCGTGTTTCCCGTCTTCAACCAGCCATCTTCCACTATCCTTTGGACTGTCAAGATGTCGATTCCTGCGCCGCCTGCAGGAGACCCCGACACCAATACTGAAAACGGGAATGTTGACGCACAGCCGTACGATCAAGAGCGAGTAGGTGGAAGTCGCCTCTCTACGTCCGATTCACACGATACGCCAACAACTACTACCTCTTTGCCTTCATCAGACAGACACGAACAGCCGGCCAAGCCCCGTGACCCTGAACTCTTCGAGCACAGAAACGCACGACTAGGGTGAGTGCCCGTTATAAGCAGGATCGATTGTGACATAGACAGAGCCACTGACTTTGAGCATAGGGACAACTGGCAGCCCAGTCTCTACCACAACATCAGACAACGCATCAAACACCATGGTGACTGATGCAACAACTGTGATCCCCTCACCTTGATGTGGAGGTAGGTGCGTTCCATGATTCCTTTCTGCTACTGCTTATTATATGCTTACCTATGGTACCTTAGCAATAGCTTGTCGTAGACTTCTAGCGAAGATGAGAGGTACCTCACCACTCGAAATTCCTGTTAATTCACTCCGTGCATGGGACTGGAGACAAAGAGGAAGTTGACGACGCGCACCTACATTGACAATATTCTTGAGGATGACAACAGCCAGGATCAGCCGGCCAAAACCTTCCTCAGACCTCTTAGAATTAAGGACAATGGAGGAGCGGCGTCCAGTACCGCAATCGCGGTCTCAGAGCAAGCTTCGGATGTGATACAGGAAGAAGCAAACCCCTCGTGGTGTTGCCACCGTTCTGACTTTCGGTTGCAAGCGTCGGAGGCTCGGCAGACATTGTTGGATACCGTGGGTGTCCAGGAGGCACCAAGAGCGCGATGAGGCGGGATGCCAAAGAGCATTCGAGAGGACAGAGCCATCACCTAAACCATCATCTACAGAGACAATCGTATCGCCTAGATAGGCTGGCTGCTTTACAGGCGGACGCCGATAGACGCGAACTAGAGTCCGAATTGGATGGACTTAAATGCACGAGCGAGACTAACCCAGAGCAGCGGAACCTGAAAGCACGGGTTCGAAAATACCAGAGAGTGCGTTCTGCCAGCGTTGGGTTCGTCAATTGCCGGATGAGAATACACAGCTGAAGGACGGCATCACCGAGTTGACGGAGAGGGTCACGAGCCTGAAAACACAGATGGCGCGCAACGAGTATGCCACAGATATGCAAGGACATTCGCGAGCGCCGCAGCCTGCCGGGGTGCTGCCACCATCTCGTCCACGGTTATCCGAAGATCCACGACGGACGGCTCGTCCAGCAGAAGCAGATCATAGTTCCTCTGATATGACCGGCCCAGGGCTCATGAACAGTCGGCCGTCAACACCGTAGCGCTCGACGCTCACCCATCTGCAAGCCCGATCTGCCCCGTCGATTACACAAAATCCTCCGGACGCATTGGGCATGGACGATGCTGGCGACGAGGACTGGGGCGTCGTACCATCTTGCCTGAGACGCAGCTGGCGCGACGCAGAACAAGCACGTGGTTCACGGGAACAGGCACAGGAACAGGCACACGCAGAGGCAGCGACGCAGCGAGATGGAGAACCTCAAGAGGGAAAGCTGCGGGCGTCGGGAAAGAGGAAATGCACCGAGAGGGAAGGAGAGGAAGGAGAAGAGGCGCAATGCGGAACGAAGAGTCGCAAGAAGAACTCAGACCGACTTTCTTCCTGACTAGCTGATCGGGTGGCACATGGAAAGCAATGTCAATGTCTCCTTTGTTGTCGAGGTGTCTGTCCACGGTCACGTTCAGCGTAAAGCTGAAGCTGGGCCCTTGCACCAGCTGTTCTACCCGGGTCGAGTCTCGAAGTCGTCAGCATCCTCATCCCCATCACCGGGTCATCCACCTGTGGGACATTTGTTGGTTATGCACATCCAAGCCCAACCATCACCCCCGAAGAAGATGCCAGCCACTGTTCCTTCAGTTGAGAATGTGGGCAGGATGGGCGGTCATGAGGCATTTGTTACCGCGAGCCTGCCCGCCGCTTCTGATGGTGATGGTGGCGGTAAAAGTTCATCGAAGCTCACATAATGTGGACGATGATGATAATGTATGTATGGTATTTCTCCTTAAGTTGTCATTGCAAAATAAAACAAGCTGCAAGCATCACCAAAGACGAGCCGTAGTGTACATACACCTCTCTCGCCGAGAGTCCCTGGAGCGAGGTCTTGATGTGATACGAGACAAGGGATGGGAGTAGTTGTGGTACATATGTCTTCAAGCATACTGGCTTTATCCACGCGCCGCAAGAGCTATCGACCTTTCATACCTTTAGTTGCTGAATATCGAGACGAGAATGCCGCGCCCCGGAGAAATGCCAACAGAGATTTGCATTCCCAAGGGCCCTGTTGGGACCTGCCACTTGCTGAGATGCATCTCTTGAAACCTTTCTGTGTCGCAACTATTCAATCCCGTCAATGGCATCGGCTTCTTCATTATCTCCAGTCACTACCGCCGCTCCATTACCATTCACTCCGCCCTTGCTGTCATCCATCTTCATCACCTCGTCCTCCGCAGCCTTCTCTTCCACCACCGGCAATGGCTTCTCCAGCTCCTCCCTCACCCAGCTCTCTTCAACCGTGTATTTGCGTTGGAATACTCTGGCCCATCGTGCTCCCCACGACTTCAACAGTTCCTCCTCTTCGGCGCGCAACGCATCAGAGCCCTCCATCATCTCATCTTGATTCCCATCCCTAATGCTCACAACCGCATCTTCAATGATGGCAAAAAGGGACTTCAGTCCCTCGAGTTCACGGGTTAATGTTTGCTGAAGTTCTAGCCTCTGTTCTTCCGGGAGACCAGGCGAGCGAATTGCACCAACGATGCTTCGAACTCGCCCGGCAACTTTGCGAGTTGTGTTGCTGATGAGTTCGTAACACCAAGTCGTGGCAAGGAGCGTGCCGCGCGAGACATGATCGATGAGCGCCCATTCAACAACGCTGTCGGGGGTCAAAATTTGGTAGTTGAGTAGCTTGTCGACGAGGACAACTCCGACGCCACGTTGATCACGCCAGTAGTCCACCACGGAGGTGATTATTTGTTTTCTGCATGCGGGGCTAGAAGCGCTTATCGCCAAGAGACGTTCCTTGCACCGTTCAATGCAGGCCAAAGCGTGAGACAACGATTTGGATCCAGTCCAGCACATCGAAGTGACAAAGACATCTGTTGATGCAAGGGAAGGGTCGGACAATCCTGAAGCCGCAGCTTCTTGCTCGATCTTTTGGAAAATTGGGGCAAATTCCTCACTAGTTGCCTTCCGCCGGATCATCTGGGCAACTTCTTTTCCTTCGGCGGCAAACGGCGTGGAGTCGTCATTGTATTTGAAATCTGGTACTTCCTTTTCCTTCGCCTCTGAGATGAGGGCTTGATAGGGTTCGGGCAGGGTGCCCTTGATACGTTTGGAAAAGCTCAGTCGGATCTCTTTGTCCAAGGCATCAATAATAAATGCCTTTCTTGGGTGTACGTCAGGCAGATTGACATCATCGACCCTTTAGAGTTAGCAAATTTCCGGCAGTGGTAGGAGGAACGACGTACCATTCAGTCCATTTCCATGTAAATCCAAAATTGCTGAGATGATGGGCAAACCAGTCCAAGAAGCGCTGAGAAAGTTCCAAATCCATCTTATCCACGTTCCTGTACAGGAATCGAATTGCTCGGCCCAGGCTAGGCGCAACAGCTGCAGGAGCTAGCTTGCACGCTTCAGTCAGCACCGAATGATAGTATACCAACTTATGCTCGGGAGCAGGCAACTGCAACAGCTGAGAAAATGCCGCATCAACAACAACATCCTCTGGTTTCCAGGTTGCTTTGTCCCCAGCGACCTCCCGCAACTTGTCAAATGGTGTGGCTCTCTTCACAAAAGTACCTGGGGCAAAGTAACAATCGACGTCGATGAGAAATTTGGCGGCTACCGCTCGATTGAAATCGAGCACGTTGATGGTATCAGACAAGGCATCTCGAATCAGTAAAGCAGCGGGATCAGAGACCGGAGGGACCGTCTCAATATCTTGTTCGCGATAGACGGAGAAGTAGATCTCGGGGAAAAGTGGTCGCGGACCAGTCTTAACGGTCTCCGGAACCGTCACGTTAGGGAACTGATGCTTTTGTGCCCCATCCAATGGATCCTCTTCTTCAGACGACGGATTTCCTTTCCATGGGCGAGGTAGGCAGGCCAACTCCCAAGAATTCTTGGACTCCTCTTGCATGTGTCTTTGGAGAAGTGCCAGTGCGCTCTCTGACCCGGTAGATGCGCCGACTTCGCGGCTCGGAAATGGATCGACTAACGACTCTAGCGGATGTGCTGTAGAGGCAATGATGTCCGTCTTATCCAACAGAGTAATAGCCTGAGTCTCGAAGCCGGTTGCCGAGGATGCCATGGCGTAAGGAAGCGTCATCAAGATGACTTTGACGAGCTCGAGGCCTAGAGACTGTGGCACAGTTAGTGCAGAATTCAAATTGAGCTTCAGACGGGACATACGTCTTCGGACGACTTCATTTGCAAGTCAGCCGCGCGCGAGAAGAGTTCTTCGAGCAGTGGAAAAATGCCATCGCCCTCGAACATGCCCTGAAGACAACCCAGAAGGCGCAAGTATAGTTTGACTTCTCGCCACGCCCCAACGTCCAATTGCTTTTGGAGAGCTTCTCCGACTTTGACCAAGACCTCGGATGTGAATTCAGGCTTCTGGACATTTGCCAGAAGCAGAATGGCCGCAACAAAGGGGATCTTGAGGGGTTGTTCGACCGGGCTGCACTCGTTAGATGGACTGTAAACGAGGACAGGCTGGAGCCGCTCTTACAGCTGCACAACGAGATCTAGGAATCCCGAGGTGAGATCGGTGTCAAAATAGTTCTCGGCCAGAGTCTTTGCGATGGCTGCGACTTCATCTTCTGCTCTTCGCACAGGCTAACAGTGCGTCAGCCCCGGAATTGATCAATTCAGCTGCACCCACAGCTTACACTTTCTGCAATGGAGAGAACTTGTTTGCGTAGAGTCAGGGCCAGCGGCTCCTCATAACGACGGCGCTGCGGTCGGCGATCTTCGTAGTCATCCTCTACGAATCGTCAGACTGGAATGGTTGCGGAACGGCTGAAGGGATACCTACCTCTGTATCTTCTTTTGCGGTTGGTGAAATGGCCTCCTCCACCTCCAGCACCACCGCCGCCTCCGCCTCTTCGTCGCCGGTCATAATCTGCCATGAAGAGCGTTGACTGCACACCGAACTGGTCGTCAAGGGGATTGCAAGGTTTATGATGTTTGTGATCACAAGGAAACAGAGCGCAGAGAAGTCATGGGAGACGCGTTGGAGACGATGTGAAACTTGGAATCGGTCGCGCAGCTACTTGTTAGACCAT